CGTCCGGCCTCCTCCTTTTGGGGAGGTTCCTGGTGGTATTTTTTGCTCAAATTTTTTATGTATGTTCTTCATCAAGTCTAGAGTCCATCCATACCAAATTTGAGAATAAAATTCCATCAGGAAGGCCGTCAAATGATTTTTGAAAGTTAACTGCGTTTTATATGTATATTCCAGACCAGTTAACTTTCAAAAATCATTTGACGGCCTTCCCGATGGAATTTTTTGCTCAAATTTGGTATGGATGAACTAGACTTGATGAGGAACATACACAAAAAATTTGAGCAAAAAATAACACCGGGAACCTCCCCAAAAGGAGGAGGCCGGACGGCGCTCCGGTCAGGAAGGGAGGGACCGGAAGATTACTCTATATATATATATATTCCTTTATCTATATATATGTGTGTGTATGACTTTCTATCAAATTGTTCCATGCATCTAAAACATGCTCACCTTTTTGGCATAGATTTCAAAATTAAGCATGATTCCAGTGGTGTGTGTTATGGAATGGATCATTCACAGTAAGCACTACACGAGGGAGGTAAAAATGGCTGTTGTGGTGGTTGTTATTGGAGTGGGAGTTTGCACTGTGACTGATGTCAAAATTAATGCCAAAGGGTTTCTTTGTGCATGTGTAGCAGTGCTATCTACCTCATTGCAACAGATTGTAAGTAATTTTACATTCTACACGTTTTCAAAATTGATTCACAGCCAATACTAATAAGAAATATCCTTGCTCAATTCTGAAGTCTGAACCTCCACCTTTTTATCTTTCATCCTCTAAATTGATCATAGGAATTTGATCATTTCCTCTTTTTTTTGTAAATGTTGCAGTCCATAGGTTCCTTGCAAAAGAAGTACTCAATTGGATCTTTTGAATTATTGAGCAGAACAGCTCCTATTCAAGCTGCATCTCTCCTTGTATTGGGTCCTTTTGTTGACTATTTTCTTTCCGGAATTTTGATACTGGACTACAAGTATTCTTCTGGCGCAATTGTAAGTATTGCTGTTGTTTTTAATAATTTTTTGGAAAAATTCCTGAAATAGGAGTAGAAGCGTTTTGGAATTCCAAAGTAGGACTGCAATATTTTTATTCCCTAAATAGGAGTAATTACTACCAAGCTTGAAAAATAATGTCATGTTTAAAGTCTGGTAATGCCAAAACATGACAATAATTACTTGTATTCAGGGAATAAAGACATGAAAGTCCCATTTTGGAATTCACAAACGTTTTTACTCCTATTTAGGGCAATTTATTTAATTTTCATTGAACATCCTATGTGGTATGTTGTGTTATTATATTGTATCCGTTACTCTTAACATGAATAGTATAATTTGTCATATTCATATCCAATATCCTATGTGGTAATTGGCAACCAATTTCTCGAAGGTGAAAATATACATGACTACATGCCTACTGAAAATATGATAAACATATGAGAATATGATAACTACTAATTGACGAGGATTTTTGCAGTTTTTTATACTGCTTTCATGCTCTCTTGCCGTGTTTTGCAACATCAGCCAATATCTGTGCATAGGGCGTTTCTCGGCAGTTTCCTTCCAGGTTTTAGGACACATGAAGACAGTTTGTGTCCTGACATTGGGCTGGCTGCTCTTTGATTCCGAGCTGACTATGAAGAATATCATGGGAATGCTGACAGCAGTTGTTGGAATGGTGATTTATAGTTGGGCAGTGGAGCTTGAAAAGGCCTCCAATGCAAAGATCACTCCCACCTCTAAACACAGTTTGACAGAAGAGGAACTTAGATTACTTAAGGAGGGAATGGAAAACACTCCCATCAAGGATATTGAACTTGGTGATTCGAAGGTTTGATGTACCGTGAGGAAATGTAGAGGTTTCTGGCAGGGCCGTGTTTTTCTTTGATGTCTTTAGATTTATTTTTTATTCTTACTGCCTCATAGTCCATCCGATTTGGGTGCCGATTCAATATCTGTTTTTGGTTTTCGTTTTTACCTTAAAATCTCTGTGTGCGAGTTATTTTTTTTATATATAATGAGGACTGACTGGTTGCTTAGCTGTTAGGAATATATGTCTATTGGTTTTTTATTTATAATAATACGTTGTAGTAAGTAGTGAGTTCTTATTTAACTAATATTCTTTACTTTTAATATTTATTGTATTGATTAAAGGTGTATGACACTCACATATTGTACGCACCTTTTTTTATTAATGTTTAATTTTGAAATTAATTTAACCATGAAAATTAATAACTAACAAATTCTAATAAGTGGTACTCCGTATCAATGAATTTTCTCCAATATTCTCTTCATTTACTAATTATTTTATGAGCTTATACTTTTTTTTTTTTTGTAGAAAGTGACTTATATTAAATAATTAGAACTTGAGCAAGTAATAAAACAACAAAAAGTTTCCTTTCAACCGTCAGGTTTTGAACCAAACTTAGAGAGTTAGATCATTTGGAGTGGTGAGGTATTAGGAGTCTAAAAAGCTAAATATAGAATTTTTGGACTCCTAATTGTGTGTAGTGGTAGTTTAAAAGGGGTATTAAAAATGAGAAAATGGATGGAGGGGGTTAAATATAGAGGGTTGGTTAAGAGGAGTGGGAAAAGGAAAAAGAAAGAAAAAAGAAGAGAAAGGACGGTCCTGGGTTGCTTTTTTTTGTGCGGATGATGTCATGCTGATGTCATCGCTGCATCATAATATCCCAAAAATTTTTAAACTTGTATAACTTTTTTATTTTTTATCCAAATTTTTTGAAAAATATATCAAAATTGATAAATTTTTATGATCTTTCATATGATACCAATATGTAATATAGTAAATGATTTTTTTTGAAGTTTTAACTGGTGAAGTTTTTTTGAACCTCGGAAAAACATGAAACACAATTTTTTAATTCATGGAGCCTTCACAAATAATTGAATATTCCATAATCAAACTTTACTTGAACTAAGTTCATATTTTGTTAACAAAATAAAGTTAAAAAAATTAATTAAATTTATTTATTTTTACATCGAAATATTTATTTTTTATTTCATAATTATTCAGCGGAAAAATTAAAAGCAAAACATTACTTATAATAATTTAATTAATGTTTTGCTAAATTGAAAGGTTAAAATATATGTTGAGCGTATTTTATTGACGGTGTTGGAATGCAAGAAAATGGGAGTCTAAACACTGTTTTCATATCGACGGAGTCCATTTTTAACAATTTGGCCTCTCAACCACTACAAATGGTCTTAGAGGCATCACATTATAAATGAAAGAGAGTTTGATCCTATAATGAACATAATTGAGTCAAAGACGGTCAAAATAAATTTTCCATCACCTGATCTAAACTCCAGAGTTTGATAGAAGTAAAACAAAAACACAAAAATACACCCTGACCAATACAAAAAACTAAAAGAAAGCCAAAACTAGTAGAGTTTTGGAGAGAAGACTTTCTCATAATCTCGTCTTTTTGAGGCAGCGATTCAAAACACGCCCTCCTCAAACCAGGAACCACGCCTGACCAGCCATCCACTGAACTCAAATATTTCAATTACTCACAAATCAAATAACAAGGTTAAATTGCCGATCCCACAAATCTGGCCACTTTTGATTGCGAGTGAGAGACGCCGATCTCCATGGTTCCCCCTTACCAATTCCAAACGATACAAGACAGCCACCAAGCAACAAACGTAACATAACGTCAGCCGGATAAAACTAAAGCCGCATGCTTAAAGTGGGAGAAGAAAAATCCTAAGAGAAAATTGCTAGGGAGCGATCCACGATTTGATGAATCACTAAAATGTCAAAGCAATGAGAATAAACCAAGCATTCCAGGCTTCGAGCCCAGCTGGTTGTGAGGTTGCCGTGCTTAGTAGGAGGTCACAAGTTCGAAACCCGCTAGACACATAAGGGTTCGAAACTCAATGGAGTGAATTTCAACCCTGATTATTCCAGGTCCCCAGCCCCTTGGAGTTAAAAAAACATCAAAAAATTAAAAAAAAAAAAGCCAAAGCAATGAGAATCAGCTCGAATGAGTTGAATCTATATCTCAAAGCAAAAGAGTCATGCTAATTTTGATGGATTGAAAGTCAAAATGCGTATCTTCAGATAGAGCAAAGGGGCCTAAGAAGGACAGAGTCACGACAGCATGGACAAAACAATTTAGTAGCGGCGGCAGAACAAATCAGCAGCAACGATAGAAAAAACAACGGCGGTAAGATAAATTGATAACGACATGTAAACCCTATTAGGGCTCGCTCTCCACATGAGCTTATACTTTATGATACTAGCTTATTGTACTCCTATTATATAAAAAGTAAAATAATACTAAAAATTCTAAAATGTTATTTAAAAATTAGTAAAAATAATATAAAATAACATTCTAGCAACATTTTATATTATATAAAAGGTAAAAAATTATACGGTATAAAAAGTATAATACGAAAATAGTTATTACATTTTTATACTATCCTCCGTTTTTTTAATTGCAACATGTAAAATTTTACATTGTTCACATATTCTACTTTGACTGCATTTTACGTTATTATTTTATAAAAATTATTTTTTTTAAAAATGTTATCCAATTCATCTCATTACAAATTTTCAAAATCTGATTTTTAATTTTTTTTACTAATAGGGATTAAGATATAATTGCGGTCAACGACGTGCGTTGTCAAGTATGAAATGTTGACCGTTGTAACTAAAAAAGAACGGAGAAAGTATTATTTACTTAAAAATAGTTTATATTTTTATATTATATTATAAATAGACGTCTATATTTTATACATTATTGTAAACTTATATATTATTTTATAATATAATTTTATTTTATTTTTTTAATGTTTTATTTTCTAATTACTATCAAATAAAAAAATGTTTTATTTTCTAATAATAATTTTGACAAATTTTAACGGCCGGGGTAAATTGAGCCACCTTTACGGGCCCCTGTAAAAAAAATCCCTTGTATATATTGTACTATCGTATATACCTAGGCAAATGGTATATGCCGTATGTACCCATCACTTGTATATAAAGTAGTGTTTTCACGTGAATCGAGTCATTGAGAGTCAAAAAGAGTTCTGTGGTGCAAAGAGAAAGTTTTGGTGAAAACTGAAAAGGATGGATTCGGACTTTGGACTACCCAGAGAACTCTCTGATCTACAAAAGCTCCGATCCCAATACAAGCCGGATCTTCCTCCTTGTCTTCAGGTATCTCTTCATTTATATTTGTCTATGTTATACCTTTTTTCATCTACACCCACTTGCTCGTTCTTCATTTACAAATTTACAATGCTTTATCGTAATCGTAGAATCAGAATGTACGCGCAACTGAGCTTTTCTGACGGTGTTCTGTGTGCCGCTAAATGTTCTAGGACTTTCGATTTAGTATATTCGAATTCAGCTTATTTCAACCACTTGATGACATACTTTATCTGTGGATGTTCGGACGTCTTACATCCAGTTTATCTTGTATCTTGTTCCATCATCGCTTTTTAACGAAATTCGTATCTTCTCATTGGCGCGCTTCTCAGTTATTTTGATGTCAATCAGATACAGTCAAAGTCGTGGAGTCGTGCTAGATTCTATTCTGACTTGTAATCAGGATAGACTATAAACTGTTACACTTTGTTTTTCATCTCCGTAGATTTTGTAACTAAAGAGTGGAGTCCTTGTTGTCGTGATCAATGACATTCTCTGATATTTGATGCTAAGATTCATTCATAGGCACGGAGTTGAATATTATACTATTCTCAGAGTAATCAGTGTGTACTTTAGAGTTATAAATTATTCCACTGCTTGTTTTTCTGTCTCTGTATTTTTAAAAAATTAGCAATGCATTCTTTGTGTATTTGTGGAGTCTAAAGTATTAAAACAGGTTTAGATATATAATTTAATTATTACCTTAAGACATCAAACAATTGTGCTCAATTCCTATGTGTGGTTTCTGTTACGCTAATGCTCTTCATTTTCATGTGTTTTCTTGCTCCTGGACACTGCAAGGTTTGGTGTGGGTTTTATTTTTTATTGGTTATTGGTTTCTATTTTATATTGAACAAGTCCCTTGTTTATTTGACTGCTACTTTCACATTATTTCTGGGAACACCTAATCTATTCCTATTTCAAAAGGGCACTACTGTCCGTGTGGAATTTGGCGATGCAACCACGGCTGCAGATCCCTCTGGTGGACATACAATAAGTAGATTGTTTCCTCACACTTTTGGTCAGCCATTGGCTCATTTTCTCAGGGCAAATGCCAAGGTTCCAGTTGCGCAGATAATTACGGAGCACCCGGCAATTAGGTATATGTTTGAACTTTTATGATTATATCATGGCTTCATGCTGCCTTGTTGTAGCTGATCACAATGATAGAGATACTATATAATTACTAATGTTATCTATTTACTATTTGTTTTCATCATATAATTTTGTCCTTTCAGTGTGTTACTATGGGTCATCGGGAAACAGTCTCTCCCTGCTTTAGGCAGGGATAAGCTTGTGTACATCCAACCCCCCTTACCCATGGTTTGTAATTGCGCAATGCAATACCGCCTTGAGGCGCGCCTCACCATTTTCCTGGAGTATGGCGTAAGATTGCATTGCTTATTGCGAAAGTTGTTATGGCGCACGAGTTATTGCGCAAGGCGTAAGCAATTCTATCCACACCTTAAGACGGTCTGAGGCGTACGACATATGTGGTCATCTGTAAAGTGTATTTTGGGCCCACTGGACTTAATTTTTACTAATAAACCTATCGAGGCATACACAATTTGCTAGCAGCAAATTAGTTACTTACTTTCTTCCGCCTTCTTCATCCATCGCGAAAGGCCTGGCAGCGATTCAGTCTCTTCTACGGAACTCAGTTCTTCCTCTGCCTTCTTCTTCTAGTCTTCTCGAGGCAACTAAGGTGGTTTCATGCATCTGATAGAAACCTTCAACCACAGTACACTATCAAACAACAATCACAGAATACAAGCAATACAGATTGAATCAAATAAGCAAGAATTCTAGCTCAGTAAAAGAAATCTTATTCAACAAGTCAATTGAAAACAGTCCCAAAGAAGGAGATAGAACTCCAACTCCCAGTCCCAGACCAAAAACGTCTATACAGCTTGCTTTTCCTTCTGTAGGAATTATTCTATTTATATCCTTCTTAAACAGAAGGTAGTTACTAGTAACAACACGGCTAACTAATAACTAACTAGTCTTCCTTTGAAGTCTTCTAGAATATACTTGATTAAAGAACTGGTGAATTGATCTTGGATCACTTGAACATCCTCCCAAGAGTCTTCAAAATCAGGAAGCTCCTTCCAATGTACAAGAACCTCCTTCTTCCCTTCCTGATTTGTTCTGAAATCCCTCACCTCCTTCGGACTCACCTGCAGCTCACACCCTTCTGTGAGGCAGTCTGGGAGAGATTCTGATAGAACACGGTAGGCTTCAGTACCTTCTTTAATAAAGATATGTGGAAAACAGGATGGATCCTACTCCCTGCAGGTAACCTGAGTTTAAAGGCTACAGGACTTAGCTTTTCAGAAATCTCATAAGGGCCATAAAATCTTGGGCTGAGCTTTTGGTTGATCTTTTTAGCTAAACTTTTCATCTTATAAGGCTGAATCTTCAAGAAAACCATATCTCCTTCCAATTTTACCTCCCTTCTATGTTTATTTGCTTGTTGCTTCATTAAGTTTTGTGCTCTGGCCAAATTCTCCTTTAGTTCTGTCAACATCAAATTTCTTTCAGCTGTCAGTCTGGCCACCTCTTCGACTGCAGTCAACCCAACATCACCCCTGATTATAGGTGGAGGTGGTTGCCCAAACAAAGCTTGATAAGGGGTCCCCTTCAAGGAACTGTGATAATTAGTGTTGAACCAATACTCAGCCCAAGGAAGCCATTTTACCCACTGCTTAGGCTTCTTACCGGTTAGGCACCTTAAATAAGTCTCCGAACATCTATTTACCAGTTCAGTATGCCCATCACTTTGAGGGTGATATGCAGTACTGTATTTGAGCTTTGTCCCCGCTAGCTTGAATAATTCAGACCAGAATGAGCTCAAAAAGAGGCTATCTCTATCACTGACTATGGACTTAGGAAACCCATGGATCTTCACAACTTCCTGCACAAAGACTTCGGCCACTCCCTTGGCATTGTAGGGATGTGCCAGGGGAATAAAATGTGAGAATTTAGTAAATCTGTCAACCACCACCAGTATGGTGTCTTTTCCCCGAGATTTTGGTAACCCTCCAATAAAGTCCATACTTATATCTATCCAAACATGATCTGGGATGGGTATGGGATGGGTAAAGGCTGCTGCAGTCCTGCAGGCTTTAAAGCTTGATACTTGTTCCTTTGGCAAATTTCACATCCTTGAATGTAATCCTTGATGTCATGCTTCATCCATTGCCAAAAGAATAGACTGGAAACCCTCTTCATGGTTATGAAATATCCAGAATGGCCTCCCACTGCAGAGTCATGATACTCTAAGAATAGAGAGTATCCTAGAAGATCCCTTAGGCAGCACCAACCTCCCCTTATAGTATAATAACCCATCTTTTCTTTTATATTCAGGGCATTGATCTGGCTGAGTCATCATCCTTTGAATCACCTCCCTCCACTTAGAATCCCTTTCCAACTCTTCTCCCAATCCTTCCCATTCTTGGCAAATAACTGAAGATAAAGCTGCAAAGGTAGATTTCTTGGAAAGAGCATCTGCAGCTTTATTTTCAACCCCCGGTTTATACTTGATTACAAAATTGTACCCCATCAATTTAGCTATCCATTTTTGTTGATCTTCTCCCATTGCCTTTTGTTCAGTCAAGTATTTCAAGCTTTTTTTATCAGTATGGATTTCAAAGCTTCTTCCTAAAAGATAAGCCCTCCACTTTTGAACAGCAAAAACAATAACCATAAGTTCCTTGTCATATACTGACTTGGTGAGATGCCTGGGAGATAATTCCTAACTCATGTAGGCAATGGGGCCTCCTTCTTGCATAAGAACTGCCTCCAAACCCCTTCCAGATGCATCAATTTCTACCACAAAAATCTTAGTGAAATCAGGTACTCTGAGGACTGGTACTGTAGTCATAACAGTCTTCAATTTCTCAAAGGCTTGCCTGGCTTCGTCTCCCCATTTAAAACCATCCTTCTTTAATAAGGCTGTTAAAGGAGAAGCAATGTGACTGTAACCTTTAACAAACCTTCTATAGTACCCGGTCAGACCTAAAAAACCCTTAGCTCCTTTAAGTCCTTAGGTACACCCCATTGTTTCATGGCATCTGTTTTACTTGGGTCAGCAGCTACCCCTTCTTCAGATATTATGTGTCCCAAGTAACTCGGTTGTTTCTTGCCAAAAGAGCACTTCTTTTTGTTGGCCACCAATTTATTCTTCCTTAATGCTTCTAGTACCACCTTCAAATGTTCCGTGTGATTAGATTTTGTCTTGCTATAAACCAAAATGTCATTGAAGAACACTAAAGCAAATATCCTTAAATAAGGCCTCAGCACCTCATTCATGAGGGCTTGAAAGGTAGCAGGAGCATTAGTTAAGCCAAAAGGCATCACCACATATTCATAGTGTCCTGAATGAGTTCTAAAAGCAGTTTTGTGGATATCACAACTCTTCATCCTAATCTGATGATAGCCTGATTTCAGATCAAGTTTGGAGAAGATTTTGGCCCCACCAAGCTCATCCAACAACTCTTCTATCACCGGAATTGGAAATTTATCAGGAATAGTAATCTTATTTAAGGCTCGGTAATCCCCACAAAATCTCCACCCCCATCTTTCTTCTTGGCTAAAAGTACAGGACCGCTGTAGGGGCTATTACTATTCCTAATAATTCCAGACTGCAGCATTTCATCTATATTTTTTTCTATCACATTCTTCTGATCAAAAGTATACCTGTAAGGCCTCAGATTTGGTATATTGGCACCCTCCTTGATTCTTCTAGCATGATCACACTCCCTAGCTGGTGGAAATGTTAACTGATCAGAGAAAACTTCTGGAAATTCTGCCACCACTTTATCCCAACATCCTTCCTCATCTTCATCCTGTTTCTTTCCATCCAACTGCCCTTCATAACATAATAAAAACCCATCTCCAGTTTGCTGCAATATGTGAACCATGGTTTTAAAGGATACTTCGATTCGATTCCAAGCTGTGTCTCCTGTTAAGGTGTAAACCTGATTCACATCACTCCATTTCAAGACCTTGATGTTGAAATTCACCTCCATGTCTCCTAATCCAGCCAACCACTCCATCCCTAACACCAAATCAGTGTCCCCCAATTCCAGTATGTAAAAAATTTGTTGAATGTCAATTCCCTGCACATTCAATCTCATCTCAGTACATCTGTCCTTGTTAGAAATGCAATCACCATTACCAATTTGTACTTTGTATCCTTGGATAGCAGAATAAGGGATCTGCCATCTTTCAACAATCTTCTGGGACACAAAGTTGTGTGTAGCACCACAGTCAATAAGGATATTGACTTCTTGTTTCCCTCCAGGCCATTGTAGTTGTCCCTTTACCTTAAAAGTGTTCAATGCAGGTATCCCTTCTTTACTCAAAACAGAAAGCTGCATTGTCTTCAGCTCTAATTTAGGGCTGTGATCTTCTTCAGGCTCCAAGAATTCTCCCTCAGATTCCATTTCATCTTCAGATTGTTCTACTAGAATCATTTTATAATTCTTCATTTTGCAAATATGCCTCTTTCCCCAATTCTCACCACATTTGAAGCACAATCCTTTTCTGCTTCTTTCCAACAGTTCTCCTTTAGTTAATCTAGGTCCCTCTCTTCTAACATTCAGGTTCTTAGTTTCCTCATTTGTCTTGGTTTCTTCTGATGGTCTGCCCCCACTTGCAGAAGTGTGAGGATAACTTTTCCACTTATTAACATCCCTCCAATTTTGGCTTGAAGACTGAATGTTCTGTTTGCTCAGCCCTTTCTTCCTCCCCTCTTCTTTATTCTTCATAAAAAGGACTTCAGAATTCTTCTTTTCAATCAAGATGGCTGTATCCATAATTTTTGCTAAAGTTTTGGCTTGATACAACTTCAATTCAGCTCTTACATCCCTTTTTAACCCTTTCAGAAATACTCCCTTCAACACATCTTCAGTCAAATGTCCTTGCGAAGCTATGGATTTCTCAAATTTATCTCTGTACTCTTGTACAGTCCCTTTCTGCTTCAAACTGAACAGTGGCCCTAATGGATCTTGAATCAATTCAGGTTGGAAACGTTTTGTGAGAGCCTTAGTGAAAGTTTCCCAGTTTTGACGTACAGCTTGTCCTTCCCACCATTCGA